GTACAGATTTTTCGCAAAACGTCATAACGCAATACATAAAAGACAGACCACAACACGTAGTTTTGATACTCGGACTTCGGTTTCCCTTTTTATTCCGATAAACGTTTTTTTTTAGCTATACTTATTCCTTATCAGGACTTGGCTCATATCACTGTAAACATAACAAATTTCTGTTTATCAGTATACTCAATATTACAAAGATTTAGAAACTGATTTTATTTATTACTGGTAACATATTACTTTCTTTCTTCGCCTCTATCGATTTATTCGTTCTCTCTTACATCTATCAGTCTTCTTTCTTTCTTTCGTTGAACTCATGTCTTTTTATATTCCTCTCTCCAATTCACGCGTAACAGATCCCTTTATTTCTGAACTTGCACACTTATTTTCTGTTTATTGGATTGTAACGCTTCATAAACATAAAGGGTCTTGCCATCTCCATACCGAATAAACAAGAAAGGCAATTGCTCAATCCAACCATTTTCTATCGAATTAGACTGATTTAATCCCATAATCCCTTAGTGACTAACCAAAATCCGGCACTTTTTCACCTCTCTCAACTTAAACTGATGTTCCTTACATCTAACTTTATAAGGGCTAGAAGCTTCCTTAATTTTTCTTCCTTTTTACAATTTCTCTATCTCCTCTTTTAAAGCTCCCCGCAAATAATATTTTTGAGCTCCTTTATAGCAACATTAGGCGTTACTTTTATCGTATGCTTAACTAATCAGGTCTGCTCTGACCTATCATCAAATACACTCTCATGGTTTCTCACAATATCATGCATTTCCAACTGTTGCTTATGGGTTAATTCTTTTAAAATTTTAAGTTGTCTTGTGTGCTAATAAAGATTTAAGATTTTCTGTTTACTCTCGTTACTACTAGCCTCTAAACAGGTCATCACACAAAGTGTACGGTGGTTAAAGCATACTTACATGATACGTTCATCCCATTACTTCTCCATCTACTGCATCTACCTCATATGTCCTTTAACCGACACGTTAATTGTAGAGAAAGAACCTATCCACCTTCCCACTAAAGTATTTTGATGTACTGTATCCAGTAATGCAACTGATTCACCATACGTCCTCGTTCTCATCACAGTGAAGCTTTTGTTTATCCTTTCTCTTCTGAATAGCTTTATCTGCTAACCTTTGCATCAAGCTAGGCACAAACGCTAACACATCTCGTGACTCGGCTTTGCCTCTGGACCAACTTATTAAAACTAAGTCTAATGGATCCTTAAGCATCTTTACCATATAGTAACTCAAAGGGTGAAAACCTTGTAGTAGCTTGAGAGACTTCTCGATATGCAAGTAGCACAAAAAGCAACATCATATCTCAGCCAACATGATTCTCTTGTGACATTACTTTTAGAATAGCCTCAATTGTCCCATTTGCTCTCACACACATCGCATTTGTTTGCAGTCTATAAGGACTAAAGTGTCTCATTTTTACTCCCGCCATCTTCAACAATTCTTCATTATTTTCTGTTGGAGATTGATAGCTAAATTTGATAACAATTCTTCAGGAGATCCGACTTATGAGAATATCACTATCGGCTCTCGGGTAAGTTTTCTGTTTCTGTAGAATCTAGTGTTACTTCTTTTACATGTTTAATGGCAGAATCAACCACATTCAGACTATATTTACTTCTTTGCTCTGTTAGTGCAAGTGATCCGATAATATCAGCATTAACAGAACTAAAGGATTTATTAACAATTAGTAAATTACCAATTGGTCTTTTTTAGTTTCACGCCCCTCTTACCAGCTACCTGACAAATTGTACAGCTCTTTACATAAATCTCAATATCTCCAAACACACCTGGCCAGCAGTAGTTTCAACCGATCCTCTCTTTTCTTTGAACTATGTATACCTAAATATCTAACGAATATTGCAATGTGCCCTAATTCTAATGCTATCTCTCTACATTCCTTTCGGAGTACTGTTTGATCCCTACCATCTATTACATCATTACCATTACATTTACGCCTCAACACTCCTTCCCACCAGTAATGATAATTTTGTCCAAGTTATATAGTCAGTTTATGATATTTGCCAACAAGATTGATACACAAGTTTTCTTTTTTAACACAACAGTACAATATACAGTAACAGTTATTACAAATAATTATTACAAACACTGATTTATAAACCAAAGTTTCATAATAATAAATTATTCGCATTAATGCTACATATTCTTAGATAAACATAAGATCCTAGTGTAGAAATAAAATGTTATTCAAACTTAGCATTTTAACTTGTTTAAGAAGCCTTATCCATAATATTGCGTATAACCTCTACTCACTTGCCCCCACTCCACCCAGTGCTGGATAATCCAATAGGCAGAGTGCCTAGGGCCTACGAAAATGTTTGGAGCCTAAAAAAATTCTTATTTGACTCAAAAACAAGAAAAGGAAACTCCTGAATCAAACTTAATCATTTGCTTTGATTGAATTACTTTAAAAATTGCCTTTTTATTAGAGTGTAGGTATAAATGTTGAAGAACATATACAAATGCACGTTTATCTGATTAAATCTTTAGTCAACAAACAACATGTCTTAAGTAAATGTAAATTAAGCATTAACTTTGCGGCTCTTTTTGTTAGCAAAATCACAGATTACATCTTCAAATCACAGATTAAGTCTTCAGATTTCACATTTCGCAAAAGCTCATTCTCATTTGAGAGTAATACAAGTGAAGATAGTCGTTTCTGTCCCATGGGTCAAATGAAAATAGTCGACTCTGACCCATGGTCAAGTGAAAATATTTGTCTCTGACCAATGGTCAAGTGAAGATAGTCGTCTCTGTCCCAAGATCAAGTGAAGATAGTCTTCTCTGGCCTATGGTCAAGTGAAGATAGTCGTCTCTGACCCATGGTCAAATGAAGACAGTTCTTTATATGTTTCAACTTTGAAAAAGAGCGCTTCCCTCCACAACTTGTTCGGAAGATGGCGAGATACATTCTAAAAGCAATGTTCACATATGGAAAACTTGCCCTCAACTTGCCGCTATTTGCGCACTGATCATTTCTGCCACAGATTTGTTGTCTGTATACATACGTGAGAATAATGAAAATTCATCTGTGAATGTATTTTCGAAATCTGATGGATAGGTGTCTATTAATGTCCTTGCTCTAGAGGCCACTTCATCATTGGACATGGATCTATCTACAAGAAAACTGAACCTTTCATTCAGCGTATGCTGCTCGCCGTCTGCCCATCTCAACAATATGATTATCCTTGGTAGGATAAAAGAACTGCGTGCAGAATTTCTCACTGGCACTCAAATCTGAGATAGTATTATTCATGCCAACTTTATCAAAAAATCGGTTTCTCAGTCGTTTGCTTTCTGTAGTATCCTTGTAGTCAGATGGTGTGAGTTCTTTTGCCATGGCCTCAAACACGTGAAATTTATCGCGGGTATCACAAAACTGTGCTAAAAGACCATCATACAAATTAACATGACAGTGCACAACTCAATGCCAGCCTCCTGTAGAGCTTTCTTCACAAGATTAATCTTTTGGGGTAAGTCATTCCAAATGACACACATCAACGCTGTATCGAACTGATCAAGCTTCTTAGTCAGTGACTTTGCCTCATGGTCAGCTCGTGGTGGTTTTCGATCACTTTCAGCTATGTCAATCAAAATTTGACGAATTTCAGAATTGTTAACACAAAGGGCTCTGGTGGCATCTCTCTGTGCTGAGCATCTTGTTTCTGATACACTTTGAACAATATAGGCATTTTTCTTCATGTTCTCTATCAAGCTAGACCATATCTTGGGTGAATCTGAGAAAAACATATAGACTGCAAAATTCCAAAAAACGTGCCTGCTGCAGGGCAACACTCCACAGCAGCTGATCCAACCAAATTAAGAATATGGGAGGCACATAAATTCCATTCAGCTTAACTGTTAATTTTACGAAACCTAGCTTTCACTCCTAAATAAATGCCACTCATATTGCTGACGTTATCATATGACTGTGACCCACAGCTTGAAATATCAATGCCATGATATTTGAGAGAACCCTGCAAAGGATCAAATAAGTATTTTTCATCATGTTGTTCATTGGAAATGAAATGAACAAATCGCTCAACCACATTTTCATCACTGAGTTCATAATGAATTACCACTGTAAGCTGACCAGTGTGACTAACATAAGGTGTTGAATCGATACTGATTCCATAATACTTTGCATTTTTTATTTCAGATATTATCTGCGCCATAACTTTGGATCCCAATATGTCAATAAATTCATCGCATATAGTTGAACAAAGATTAGACACACTACCTCTTCCTGGATTTCCATGTCTTTGAATGTGCTCTGCGAGAAACGGATCAAATTCAATCAAAAGTTCAATGCACCCACGGTAGTTTCCATTGTTAGGGCAGCCATGCACCTCAGTGTCATCACGGAAGGCTAGTCCTCGTTCAGCAAGGAATCTTATTACAGCAATAAACTTGTTCGATCCAGTATTTACACGATCTTTCATTCATCTTCTACAGTTCTACGTCAATTATGATGGACTTTTGATGCTGGAGCATCATTGACAGTGCACCAAGATGATCCTTCAACTGCTCATGAGAAGTAATCCAAGTGTCTGAATTTTTCCAGTCATCAAAAATCTGTTTTAAACTGATTAGAGAAGTCTCTGGTGCGGGCACAGAATAGCTTACACACGTAGCAATGCACTTTACCAGTTGAGGGAGAATATATAAACCATCCTCTCTGGACAGTTTCTCCTTTTGCCAGTCACCTGAAAACATATTCTTTGTCTGCAGATCTTTTCTTTCCCCCAAATTGTTTATCCATCAATGAGAAGGCTGAATCCAAATTCTGTGAAGGGGTATTTTCTGCATAATAATTTAAGAAATCTGCAGTGATCTCCCACTCAGCTGGATCACTACTATAATTCAATGTAGATGAATCTGATGTTTCCTTTGATGTCTTTGTTACTGTTATCATCACATCTCCTGCTGGTACTGTCACTGTCACTTCGGGAGCAGCCTGACTGATTCTCGCTTGTTACTCACTTGATCCATGTTCGACACAAACCTCAGTGACATCTGTTTCAACATGTTCGGCAGCTTTGTTTTCCAGGTCTGATAATGATGGATCGATAGGAGAGCTTGCACTGTTACTCTTCATATATTTTCTCATGAAATTAAGCAGAGAATCCCTCATCTGTTTTAAAGCCTCTTACCTTTTTTCTTTTCTTTCGATTTTCATACCCAGACTCCTACTTCCACTTGTATCCGTCTGACTTATTCAATCCAGTTTAAAGGTATCCTGAAAAAAAAAAACTTGACTGAACTATAAATAGAAGATGCCAAAATAATTAACAAAGTTTTAACGACTGCATTGTAATAATGTTCATTATTTTGTTCATGTTTATTTACTATGAAAAAATATTTACAATGCAAAAAATAATTATTTAGTTGTGTAAAAAAACAAAGACAAAGTATCATAGTCAAAATATGATAGTATCAAAGTATCATAGTCACATATATGGATCTATGATTATGGGATCTATATATATTTATATATAGATCTATCTTGGGGCTTACGATTACCTAGGGCGTATGAAGACCTTAATTTGGCCCTGACCCCATTCCTCTTGAACAAACAAAATATTGCGTTTTTGAAAGGGGCATAGCCAAAACTACAGAGTGGGATTGTATTTTGCTTATATATATATATATATGTATGTATGGACCTTTTAAGATAGTGCAGGAACATCCACTGATAACCCATTGACATCAGATCGGGGAACCCAGACGCAAACAAATACTAAAACTAAAGAAACCCAAGTCAACTCACTGATTGCTCTGTGGTCCGAAGCCGCAACCCAAAGCAATGTTTCACAGTAATTCCTCACGAAAAAGTGATCAACTGAAAAGTTTTGTTAAGCCTAAATCTCTTCCAGAAGACACCGAGAAGTTGGTGCCGAACTCAAATGTCACACGAGGCACCCAAAACGATCAGAAACGACAACTACACCCTGGACGACGAATGTTCTTTCTCTTTCCCAAGCATTTATCAATCTCTTCTAGAACCCAAGCAGCTGTATTAATTCAGTGACGCTCCAATTATGTTTAATAATAGCTTTTTTATTCACGTTTCAGTTGCACAGTAGAACATTCGGTGCCCGATCAGTGAAACTAAGTTTTTTCGGGGTACTCCTGTTTTTCTCCCACAACAAATTCTTGGGTATTGTACCACTCGATTCCATACCCTTTAAATTGGATCTTTCGATCCCTGATTTTCTTTCTCTATATTTATGCATTTTCTATCTGTTTATATGATTTTACTTAACCTTCCTTTTTATTTTCATTATCTTGTTTTTGAAGAGAGTCAAATCAGAGTTATCCAGCAATGAAGAACACATCATGCGGATACACATATTATGGTAGCGCCTGTAATTCTTCAAATTTCTTCTTCTCTTTCTCTGAGGCGGCTGAACCAAAGTCAAAAAGTCAAGCCCCCCCCCACCCCACCTACTCTCACTTATTATTATATCTCTACACAGTAGTACGAACGAAA